AGAGATGTGCTAGCATTTTCCCCTTTTCCTTCCCCATTTTATTACCTTTCTTTTCCTCTTATTTCTTTCTCTCGTGTCTCTTGTGTTGTCTCTCTTCTGCCCTTGCTTTCTCTCGCTGCCAGTGGCGGACGGAAAGGTTCCTTTCCCCGCTCCAGATAATCTTCAAACAAAGTCTGGGAAGTGTGATGTTGGCGTCAGAGGGTTGGACAAGCTATGCACTGAGGCCGACGATGCGGCATTCCATGCCTTTCCATTGGATGATGATGCATGCCTCCAACCCGTGGTTATTCGATGTCGCCGTTTGCTACAGCTGTCACTGGTTTTGAGAGGGAATAGATTCTGGTCGACATGATGCATCATGCCCCAGTCCCCCAGTCCCCGAGAGCAAACGACTTTGGCGGACTGTGGTTAATACCCCTCCTGCCCGACTCTTCGAATCTCTTGACCAAGCAAACGTGCCACCACTTTTTCAAACAGAATTGCGCCCAACCTCCCACTCCCCAGACCATCTTCAAACCATCATCTTCTCAAAATGCCCTGGGCCAAGAAGCCGTACAAACCCAAGCGGCAGACTCACCAAGACGCGACCGCTGTCATGTTCCCAAACCTTCACAAAGATGTCGGCAGCGTCCTCATCGAAGAGCCCATCCTCCCCGAGTGGTGGTTTCATACCACTGGGGGCGACAGCGAAGCCATCGACGAGTACCCGACCAATGTCATGGGCGGATTTGACTGCCGCAACCCTGGCTGTTTGAGGACCGGCTGGAGCAGCAAGAAGATCGCCATTTTGATCCGACGCTTCCCGGACAATGGCTACAACGCGGAGGTGTTCAAGCAGCGCTGCAAGTCATGCAAAGAACTAGGCGCCTTGCGACTTGATGAGAACGCCTACGTCGAGAGGGTTGCGTACCGGCTGAAGAAGTGGGCAGGCATTTCCGTGGAAACGCCTCCTTATAATGGAGTTGGTACCAGCAAGGCGCCGCATGAGACCTATCTGTGCGAAGGATGCAAGGTGGGACACTGCCAGAGCGAATTTTGAAAACGGGGAGGCATTGCGGTCTTGGCTGTGGCCTCGGTGTTGGGCCTCAGGGGAACATTGTTACACATGATCGAGTTTGAGGGGTGTGTTATTGACAATGGAATTTTTATTTCGAATTTCGAATTTCGAATTTCGAATTTTGTGATTGTGCCCTTACTACTCCCGTGTCTCTCAATTTAGCTTGTTGCCTCGAGAAGTGAGGTCATGATTCAAAACCGTATAAGTTAGTCTGGGCGAGGAACCTAAGGATACGCTACTGATCATAAAACGTTCATCCACAGCGCCAGCCTGTCAAAAGCGTCAGCAACTTTTCTTTTTGAGTTTAGTTGAGCTTACTCATAGCTGAAAAAAAATTAAAAAAAGATTATTCAGTGGTGAGAAGCCCTTCCAGCACAACAGATACCTGTAGATGCCGTCTAAATAGCAACTCCAAGCTGCGTGCTAAATCGCGGACTGCGGCATCTCGTCCCATTGGATACTCAGGGGCCAGGTTCTTTTTTACCCGAAACCAATGAGCTGGTGCAAGTCTCAAAAGGACACCACTGGATGACTGGCCTCAGTTCCGTCCACCCCAGATCGTGGACTCGAATTGAATCCAATTCTGCAGGATGCCTCCCTCTTACGAGCTGTACGACGATGAGGCCTGGGACCGTGGTGAAGCCATGTTTGAGAACCTGAAATAGAAGCTGTACAACGAAGAATTCCACTACGAGATCGCCAGATTTGTCACGAACACCGGCAAGGCGGCAATCCGATGAAGTTTTACCCTCCCCCAAAAGGTGGCTTCAACTACTACTAGTTATTGCATCCAAAAGTCCGACGGTAAATTCGTCATTATACGCTTCCCACAACCGGGCTACTACTGCATCGCCGAGGAGAAGATCCATGCTGAGGTAGCGATCATGCGATACATCGCGAAACACACAACACCACCAATTCCATTCATCCTCCGTTACGGTATGACAGAGGAAAGCCCTGGGAAGCTCGGGCCTTTTATTATTATTATTCCTACACCACTGTGCCCTGCGGGGCATGTCGGACCCTCAGCTATTTACTATACAGGAAAACCGCGCCTTTGCAGGCCGGGTGAAAAACCTATACCGATGATTAAGGGAAGAAATCAGTGAATGAGCCTGCAAAATACAAAAAGAGAAGGCCTCTTGGCCTCCGACCGGTGCGAATCAGATTGCCTACTCCAGCTCGAGCTTCCTGGCCAAGCTGTACATCGGCAGTCTTCCTGAATCCATCAGCCAGCCCAGTATCCTCCTCGTCAGCCGAGCAGTTGAAGGACTGGCACCCTGTAGAACAGAGCAAAAGTCTCGTCGCGTCCTGACTTCTGCTCTCTTTCACGTCCGAGTCAACGGTGGGGCCAAACACCACACCACCAGGTGTTCAGCAGTCTCCCGCCCTTCGCCGCACTCGCAGCAGGGCGTCAGCACACTTGGGACTCCCCGTTTGAACAAGAAGTCCCGAAGGCCTATGTCCCCAGTTCGGACTTGGACCAACAACGAGCTCTTCGCTTTGCTCAGTCCCTCGTGCTTCTTAAGAGTCTTGTCCTTGAATAGAGTCTTCTGCTGGTGGTCGAGGTCGTCCGCTGGTCTCGTCGTCTCGGGCCTTTTATTATCATGGAGTACATCAAAAACTCAGGCGACCTTTCCGACATTCTGGCAGCTCCAGGATGGCCCCTTGGGGAACGCCCCTTCCTGGACCCCAGCATCGACGATGATCTGCTCAAAGACATGTACAGCCAAATGGCAGGCATTATTCTTCAGCTCTATATGTGCACCTTTCCCAAGATTGGCTGTATTAGCAGAACAGAAACCGAGGACGATGACGGCGGGTTTACTGTCACTTCCCGCCATTGTCTTTCAACATTGCTCGGCTCGGAGAACTAGGAAGGGTCCCCCATTTTAAAGCTGCCTGCTCAGAACAAGACATTCTCTACCTCGACTAAGTACTTTTGCGCCCTGGCCGACATGCACCTGCAACAGCTCTCCTTCCAACGCAACCAGGCTGTCACATTAATAGAGGACTGCGGCAAAAAATATATTGCTAGGTTAGTCGAGAATTCATGTTTCCCTTTTCTTTCCCCTTGCTCCTGCTTTCTTCTTCTTTTCTTATCATTTGCTTGGGTATTCCTGTTTTTTTTTTCTGTTTTTTTTCCCCCAGACAGTTTCTAACTAAAACCCTAAGACAACTCTTCCGTAAACTAGCCCACAGTATCTCCTCACCTCCTCCTCCACCATTCACGACCCCAACAAGTTCGAGTTCCCCCTCTATTGCGACAGCCTACGCCTAGTTAAGGTTCTCGTTGATGCAAACAATTACATAGTCAGCGTCATCGATTGGAAGTTCACATACGCTGCCCCCGTGGAGTGTACATACTCAGCTCCCTAGTCGTTGCTACTGATCATGCCCGAGAAGTGGCCCGCGAAACTTGATGACTGGGCGAAGACGTATCAGCCGCAGCTCAGAACCTTCCTGAAGGCGCTAGAGACGAAGGAGAGGGAGTTTATGGGGAAGGGGGGTTTGTGTAGAAGAGTTGGGGGTGTCAACGCCGGGGCAGGTGGTGAGGATGGAGGAGGTGGTGGAGAGGAAGTTGAGGGAGAAGGAGGAGGGGACGTTGGTTGATTGGCATGAGGAGGGGGCTGAGAAGAGGTTGCCGCTGGATGTTTTGCAGTTGTGGGTGGGAGGAAGATCAGAGGAAAAGGGGACGGGGAAACGGTGGTTGAGGAGCTGGAGAAGCGGGCTGAGGAACTTGAACTGGGAGAGCGCTGAGACTTGCTTAAGATATTCAGCAAATTTAGGAGATTGGCAGTCCCAGGCGAGCAATTGCTTCCTACGCTTCGCGGACGGACCTCTTACAATATTTATGTTACCTTTCGAGCTTCGTCCATTGACTATAATACGTATGTCCTTGAATTAGGCACGCTCCAGGGAGACGGGCATTGTTGACTGGGCTAGATGGGCACGAAGCTGGACTTGAAGAGCATGGCTTCAATACAAGGATTGACGGTGGCCTGAGGGTGTAGATCCGGAACTCAGCATCGAAACAGGACAGAAAAAGCAGATACCAGCCAAGCAATCCTTTGATCTCTGATATACTTGAAGCTTCCCAGTAATCTACCCGCCACCATTACCATATGAGCCCAGAAGCAAGAGGAACTGTCATGCCTTTTCTGGTTGCAGATCATCACCAGGCGCCCGGCCAGGAGACGCCATGTAAGAGCGGCAAGCAAGATTTTGGTGTCGAGCCTGGGCGGGAAGTGGCGAATGCGCAGAGTCAGAGTAAGATGTGCATCCAGTGCTGAAGTCTGGCGTAATAATGCATGTCCTGATTTTGGCGATGGGGGTCGGCCGGGGACATACAAAGCATGTGGTCAGCGGGACATGTGCTGCAGTGCTGATTTCAATATGAACCTGGGTCCTGAAAGAAGTGATCAGCTGTTTATGAGACGCTTCCTGAAGTGACCGGGCAACAGAGAGAGACTCGCGCGTCATTATGCACGCGTACCCGCCTGTTATGATTGCCTTGTTCCAGGTTTGCATGTGTCGGAGCCTGGAAACAGGCCAGCTGAATTTGTCTACCTGAAACAGGCGGCAACAGACCCGGCTCTTCTCTTGAGTGCAGTCTGCCCGTGAGTGCCGTGAGGCGCAGTGCAACTCTGCAGATAAGCCGACAAAATGCCCGAGATCACATACTGGACGCTTGTCCTCGCGTGACGGCAAGGATACAGTTCGGCAGGTCTAGAGTTGTTTGTGCTTGCAATTAGGTGTTGTCGCATGTTAACTCCCGACCTTTGAATTCCGAATCTGAGCAGAAATTCTCTGTTCGTTCGAAGGTGTTTTTTCGAAGGTGTTTTTGGAGGTGGCAGCTGGGCTGCAGGAGGTTGTCGTTAAGGATGCGAGGAGGTGCACTGCGCGGATGATGGTGGCTTGCGAGTCAAACCCAACAATCAATGGCAAGGTGGCCGAGCGGTCTAAGGCGCCAGGTTCAGGATCACCTGAATTAGCAATCTTTACAGATTTCCTGGTCTCAGAAATGGGGCGCGAGTTCGAATCTCGCCCTTGTCACGAATATTTTGCTGATTTTTTGCTGTTGTGTGGGTTCGAGGAGTGAGCTTCGAAGCGACCTTCTGGAAGCTTTTTGGGCACCTCCACAAGGTGGGCTCGAGTCTTGGCGTGCAGGTGCTCCCTCGGGGCTGACTATGTTTCCAGATCAGCAACATGGATCATGGCAACCCGGCGTCGTTTTGCAGGAGATATTTCAGCAGAGGAGGTCTGCATGGCAGCATCTGAAACTCGATGATGGCATGTCGACACGTGAAGCGCAGGCCGGGGACGCATCTGCCATCTCCTGGGCGAGTTGGATGCCACATGTGACTGGGCCTGGATGTCGGCATCATCACGGTGCTGCGGGCAGCGGGCCACATGGAGCGCATGGAGGAGGCAAGCCGCGGGTGGCTGTCGCTCGGATCTCGAGCGGCAGGGTTGATGGACTGTTTATAACCTCGAATCTGCAGGGCACTATGCTGCGATCTCAGCTGGGCGGGGCCGAGCCTGGGTCGTCCCTGGTCGCCGATCTGCACGCGGAGAGCAGCGCATCTGAAACATGGAATGAGGCCCGAAAGCAGCGAAAGCAGATGCACAGAAGGGACGCGTCCATGTTGTCGCTCAGTGACGCTGTCGACGGGACGCGGCGCTCTGGGCTGGGGCTGGCCTGTGCTTCGGGTTGCGGCCGGGGGCCAAGCGGGCTAGTCTCAGGAACAGCTGCCTGAGCCAATCGCAGCCCTACGGTTGACGCTTCTTTAATTGGCCCATGCGCCACAGCTGCGACTTCTCGATTGGGACGATCGAAATTAAAACACGTCCTCGCGGAGGCTCAGGGGAAGGAAACCGCGAGGCGAGGCTCTCTGCCCAGGAAGCAAGCCAGGTCAGGGCCCAGAGAGAACAGGAAGGGCCCCTCTTTCCATCTTCCCGCCTTCCCGCCTTCCCGCAACCTGGCCAACCTGGCAAGTGTCCGACTGAAGAAGACGGGCAGGCGCCAGTTGAAACAATCCGTCGCGGGGGCGCGGTCCATTCTCTCACTTCCATCTCCAGTCTGACGCTCCGTCTCAGTCTCAGGTCTCTCGCTCTGGTGCTTCGCATCGCTCATTCATGCGGGCGGCTCAGTAGTGGCCCATCTCGCTCATTTTACGGATACACACACACACACACACACACACACACACACACACACTCGTTTTACCCATACACTCACTCGTTCGCTCGTTCCCAGTCGCTCATTCCAGAAACACGCTGTGCCTGTCGTCGCCATCGCATGAAAGCCAATAATCCTCGTCCCCAGCCGCCCGCGACGACCAGGTCCCTCGTCGCAGCAAGCGCCCGTCGCACGCCCGGAGCACGAGTCCAGCACCCGACTCCCCGCTGACCGCTCACCAGAGCCCCCCTCCACCTTCAACCCGGGGCGTCATCGAAGGGAAACGGGGGTCCGGGTCGAGACGTCTGGGGACCCGCGATTCTGGTGGAGCTGCTGCTGCGAAACAGACGCGTCCAGCCCAGCCCACGCTGTCCTGCCTACATTATAGGTCACTCTCCTTCGATCACTCTCAGCCTCCATCTCCTGAGAGAATGGAACCCGGTGCCAGGGGCAGGTCCCCTGTGTCCCGGCGCGTCGCACAGAAGCTAGGCGGCGACACCGCCGTCCGCATCCCATATCGCCCACGGAAGGATGCATCCTACTCGCGGAAGCCCGCAGCTGTCGGCCGCATCACCCCGAAGCCCCGCCGCCAGGACTCGGAGCCCGACCTCCGCCGCACAGCAGCTGCCGATGCCCTGTCCCTCTCCGGCACCACCCCGCCCAGCAGTCCGACCCTGGCCAGCTTCCCCGCCGCCTCAAAGACCCTGACTCCCGAGTCGATCAAGAAGACCCGCCCTCAGCTCATCCTCGTCAGCTCCCAGGGAAAGCTGGCTTCCAAAGACACCGACGAGGCGTCCTTTCGGAAGCACAACCGCGGCCTCGGCTCCATCGACTCGATCCTCTCCTCCACCACCTGTGTCAACACACAGTCCGAGTGCAGTCGCCCGGAGTCCAGTCTGTCGCGGGGAGATCCGCATCGAGGTTGAGGACACCGACGGCGGGGTGTCCATCATCCCTCAACGCCAACCGCGGAAGCAGACGAGCAAGTGCGTATTATCATCCAAGGACTTGTTTGTCTCTAGTGACGTTGCCCCTGCTTACACTCGATCCAGGATTCAACTTGCTCCACCTAGCATCACGCCGCCTAGCTCCAACCTCGCTTGTGGGAAGAGCGACGATGAAGAGGGCGAGGATGAGGAGGCCAGACTTGTGGATGAGCTGTCCTCTTGGGTATTAAGGAGCACCTTTGGTAAGGACGTGGATGATAGTGCCGCCCCACTATTGGTCTGGGACTGCACCTACCGCTACCTTCAGGAACTGTGGGCCGCCGCCAACGAGGGAAACCAGGGGTTTATCCAAGCCACTTCTGGCCAGGGCAGCCCGACATCCCACTACGGTGGCACCCCGGGTTCTGGCGACGGCGGCCAACACTCAGGCCAGCATGGGAAGGGGAAGAGAAAGGCAGATGGAGGCAGCGATGATGGTGGGGGACTAGGAGGCCGAGACAGTCAGGGGGGCGAAGACAGGGACGTGTCGCCAGCATCGCAGGCGTACAGCACCCGGGGCAGCGGTATCACGAACTTTAGCTGCCCCTACCGCAAGCGCAATCCCCTTCGTTTCAACGTGAGAGACTACTACGTCTGTGCCACACACTCTTTTGCCGACATGTCGCAACTGAAGTAAGTTTTCCCCTCGCCGGTGTTGGATCACAGGTCACGCTGACGCCCTACAGAAAGCATATCCGTGCTCATCATCCCCCCGTTCAGAGGAACGCAGGACCATTCCCTTGCCCTCGGTGCTGCCATGGCTTCGTCTCGAAAAACGACTTGGACGCCCATCTGCGTCAGCTCAACGTGTGCCACGTTTCATTCGACAGCGGTGGCGCAGACCCCGAGGACGGCATCACCCAAAAAAGATCATCTCCTCTCTGGAAGCCAGGAGTCTCAAGGCCAAGATCGACAACTGGGTCTCCTTGTGGAAGCTTCTTTTCCCAGCTGATAAGGTCATCCCTGATCCCGGTAGGCAACTTCCTTCCTCCCATCATGCCTCACTCATCTGACCAGACCAGTGTTCGTCCCGGTTATGGAGATCTTTGACTTCATCTCAGAGTCCAAGAAGTTTTTGAGCACACTGAAAGACCTCCTCGAACTCCAGTACCGCCACGTCCTCGACGGAGCGACCCAGCTGATGAACATCGACACCAAAATCCGTCAAGGTCTTGAACGGAGCACGCAGTCCATCTACAACTGGATTGAGACCGTGGTGCAGGACTGGGAACAGCGGGTATCAGGGACTGTCTCGCTCTTCACGAGCGCCGCCATCAGCCAACCTGCGTCGAGCGACAGCTGGGCTTCTACTCCTCGTCTGCCTCCCTCGCCTGCTTCCACACCCACAGTTGCCCCCGGGAACGTGGCGACAGCAACCATTTTGCCAGGCTCAGAAAGTCCTAATGCAACTGCGCCCGCAAACCTCCGAAGCGCGTCGGCCCGGAGGCGGCCCAATCCCCCCGCCGAAGCGGATCAAGCGTCCCGAGATTCTGCCCAAAGCACCGCCACCGACGCAAATCCCAATGCCAATACAGCGATCACGAACCCCTCAGCCCCAGGCAAGGATGGGCCACTCGTTCAGACAAGCACCAGCCATTCTACCGAGCCAGTCGGTTCCCATGCCACCGGCGCCTCAGAATCTCGACCCTGGACCGCAATACACGGGCTGGGAGAATCCGGCCGTAACAGTCACTAGCGCCTACACGGTTCCCTACACCAGCCCCGGCGATATCTTTCAGCATCCCGCCGTGACACCGACGCACTATCAGCCCATGCATCATACTCCTCTCGACGTTCAGCCGTCGTACTTGTCGCCAGAACACGCCCCGGAGACCTTCTCGCCAGAGGCAATGCAGCAGGATATCCCGCGGCCAACGTCAGCAGCAACCATCATCGCGAATCGGCTAACCATGTCGACCACACCAAGATCCTCCCTCGCCAGTTTGAGCTGGATCCGTGACGAAAACCGTGACTCAAGCCAAACGCTCGTTGAGGCACATCCACCAGGGAGATGTGGCAATATGTACTGTCCGACCTGCAGCAAGGCGATGCCAGATGACATGGGCGCCCAGCTCTCCCCGGTAGCGATTCATGTCACTGGGCCTCCACATCACCACGGCTTCCACACGGCAGGAGCAGCACCAGGAGGGCCATTCCAGACCTCCAGTGCAGGAGAAATACATGGCTTTGCGGACCCAACTGAGTGGTCATTTCACACAGGGATGCACGGCGGAGGAGGGAATGGGGGGATGTTTGGAGGAGGACACCATGGGCCACAAGAGGGGTACTAACCTTGGTCCTGTCCGGGGATAATCAGCAAGGGTTTCTTTTTTGGATACCTGTCACTCATTTACTCACTGTATACTAACATATACCAACGAGGCTTTTGTACTAATGTAATAGTTGCAGATGCGGACCATTTTCTCTCTCTCAGGGGTTGAGGGGCATATACTATACCAGCAAAAGAAAGACGAGACGGGGCAGAACGAGAGCAAGTGGTGAAACGGCACACTGCACGAGGTCATGATATCATGTATTATCAAAAAGATGTTTTCTGGATTGTATGTCTAGAGGGTTTAGCGTTGTTTGGTTGGTTGCTTCTTGTGCGTCTCCAATGTCAATGGGGGAATGTGATGGTTAGATGTAATGCTAGTGTGTATCTCAAGTGAAGGATACTGTCACGGGGGTAATAATAGTATGTGGGTTTGCTGCGGTTTAAGCATCAACAGAAGCTCTTGAGGTTGGTGGTGAGGTCCTAGAAGTCTCCTAGAAGTTAAGCATAGTGAATTTGAATTTGAACCTAGGTGGAATTTTGCTCTCCAAGGGATTTTAGTCTAGTTTAAATCTGACGCTCTACCTTTTAGGTTTCTCGGGCTCTCAATTTCCTG